TGACAGATAGAGATGGTAGATAGAAAGATAGACATGGGATAGATAGTAGATGGGTGGGTAAATAGATGGTAGGTAGGTAGACAGGTACATAGTGTTTGGGAGGAATTAATAGGGCAGCAAATCAAAAATGCCAAATCAATCTCTCTACTAAACAGCAAACACAAGTGGCTTCGTTGCATTAAGCCCCTCCTAAAATGTCTCTTTTTGTCCCTAACGCACTGCTGCACCTTGCTGATGAGGACTGGAAGGGCGCTGCACTAGCACAGTGGAGTCCCCAGGAAGCAGACTCTGAGATGGAGATTAGCACACCTGTAAGGGCACAAGGCGGGGCAGGGGGAGAAGCTGGGCTCAGCCACAGTCTCATTAACAGCCTCAGCCCACAACAGCACAGGCACTGAGGCTGGGATGGCAGTTCAGAGTTCTGGCAAGCCAAAATGAGGGGCCCAGACCTCCTCACCTTTGCATGGGCCAGTCAGTGGGTGAAAGTTATCCCAGGAAAGGGTAGCACCTTGGGCCAATGACCCCTTTCAGTGAGGGCAGCTCCCCAGGAGGCCTGACAGGTGAGGGCTGTCTGCTGACAACCTTGCCGCCGCTGGCAGAGTAAGCACTTCAGTCCTTCAGAGGGTCTGGGTTGCCCGGCTCCATGTCCACTGTAATCACCCGACCTAGCCCAAGGCACAGGGCAGGCGCTCTCACAAGGAGCTGGCAGATGAGCAGGGTCTGAGGGATGAGTGGGAGGTCCCAGGCATAGCCCTGCTCCCTTCCTCTGTGCCAGATTAGGAAGCACTCGATTAGGCTGTTTTACAGCGAAGATTTTTCGGAAAAGAAACAATTAGGAACCATTAACTAGGATACCTGTTCCCTCTCTTTTGTTTTCCCTTTTAAAAACAAGCTGGAAAATACGCCTTCATTAACCTGCTTTTCATCTGGAAGACAGCAGCAGAGCTTCTGAGCATGTCAGCCTGCTTGCAGATGAAATGGAAAAGAGCTTGTCAAACATCTCCCTACAAGGGCAGGAAAGGGAAGGTGGCAGGGGAAAGGTTGGGGAGGAGGATTGCTCAGACTCAAGAAACTATCTGCAAGGCACTAATTGGGCTGCCAAAATGTGCCTGGGAAAAAAAGGAGAAAGGCAGATAAAGTTTCAGAGCCAGGGGTCAGTGGGAGGGCCAGGGGCAAGGTGTAGCCAAGCCCCTCCATCCAGCAGGGGCTGGGGATAAAGTGGGCTGCAGAATGAGGCCAGGCAGCTCCCAGGGGCCGCTAGCCCTTGAACTTCCTATTCCTAGCACAGGTCCAGGTGGCGCTCGGCCCCTGCACCTCTGCAATGTCACCCTGGGGAAAATGGCTGGAGGGGGGCAGGGGAGGCTGATTACTAAGCCAAGACGGAGGCTGAGAAGGGAAGATCAGGCAGAGAAGGCTCCTGGGGGCTGTGCAGAGGGCAAGGTTAGAGTCGTGGAAGAAGGGGAAGGGCAGGACCAGATGCTACTAGGGGCAGGCAAAGGGGATCACTCACAGCTTTGGGGTGGAAGAGAAAGCTTAGGGCAGAGAACAGGGTACATGAAGGTAGAGGAGCTTGTTTTCCTGGCTTGTTCTTCACTCTGTGATCGCCACTTTTCCAATTCCTGCAGAGCTTACTTAGCAACTCAGGTGAGCCACGCAATGTGGCACGGCCCCTGCCCACCCTGTTCCCCTCTGGTCTCTACCTTCACTGAGTCCCCAGAGGTCAGCTGGCAAAGCTGCAGATCTAAGCCTCCATGGCTAATGCCACAGTCTTCCTCCTCCCCCCTTTCCTTCTCCTCCCCCTCTTCCTCCCCAGCCCTTTTAGTGAGAGTCGTCTCTAGAAGCCAAGCCACTGGGGCATTTCCCTAATGGCCTGAACACTTTATAAGACAGGAGGTTTAGGTCATTCATTTGTTCATTTCTAAGCATTATTTAGGCAGCTGGTGTTCCAAGCATCATGTTAAAGATGAATGCTACCCATTTATACTTCCTCCTCTAAGCTCACCTCCAGCAGGAAGGATGGCGCCCGGAGCTGGTACCCAGACTGCAAGTGAAAACATGCCACGTGCATGCAGAGACGAGTTCTGCCTGGGCTTGGAGAATGGGGAAGCTGTGGGCTTTTAAAGGTAAAGTAGCCATTAACCCTGTAGAAAAAAGAGGCAAAAGAAGAGATTTTAGCAGGAACAGCACATACAAGGCACAGAAGCATGTGTGTTCAGGACACGGCATACAGTCTGGTAACGGCAGAGCACAGTCTTGATGGGAAAGCAGCGGAAGGCTGTCTGTAAACGCAAGCCTAATGGTTTCAGATGTGAAAAGCCAATGAAGATTTTTAAGGTTTGGGGGAACCAGGATAGTTAGGTTTGAATTTTGGGAAATGCTGGTCAGTTAGCAGAGCAGATAATGAAACGGAGGCGGCCAGTGGGGAGCTGCAGTTAGGAGTGTTGAGGCAGTTGAACGAGTGAAAACAAAAGTGGATGTGGGTGTAGCAGAGAACTCCAGCAATGAGCAAATGTTTGTCAAATAAGCTCAAGGGTGGGGTTTGAGAGATCTATTTTTTATTGATTTAGTTTTTGAGACAAAGTCTCATCATGTCGCCCTCAGCAGAGCGCCATGGTGTCACAGCTCACAGCAACCTCAAACTCTTGGGCTTGAGCAATCTTCTTATTCTTAAATATTTAGTTAGTTAGTTGAGATTGAGTCTCACTATGCTGCCCTTGGTAGAGTGCTGTGGCATCACAGCTCACAGCAACCTCAAATTCTTGGGCTTAAGTGATTCTCTCACCTCAGCCTCCCAAGTAGCTGGGACTACAGGCACCTACCACAATGCCCAGCTGGGTTTGAACCCGCCAGCCTCAGTGTATGTGGCTGGCACCCTACCCACTGAGCTACAGGTGCTGCCTTGGGTTTGAGAGATTTTGAGCTGTCTTTAAACCAGGGAGGGGTGGTGGTTAAAGATGGCGCTAGGATTGATGATCCAAAGACTATTTGACTTGTGCCTCTTTTTGCCTCCATTTGGGAGCACAAATGGGCAATCCCTATCATGGTCTGGGTTGTGGTCAGATCAGATGACATCTGCTCTGTGACCCTTCACACAAAAGGCTAAGCATGGCCCCTTGGGAGAGGAAGAAGAAGAGAAACCGTCATAGAAGTCATAGAAAGAAGTCATTGTTGCCATGTTCATTGCAGACCAGGAATCCCCACCCATTGCCCACCCCAATACCCCGAACAACATGGTTACTCGATTAGGCAACCAAACATCCTGGTTTGTCCAAGACAGTTAAGTTTATATTAATCCTTGCTCCCTTGGGCACAATTATTAATCCAGTTCCTTTCCCTCTCTAAAGCAGCCCAGGTTAAATGATAAAATATAAGTCTATCCTGGCCTTCTTTCCCACTGACCCTCCCACTGAAGGGTCCCGATCTTAGGACCCTTCTTTACACAGCTTTCTTTCTAAACAACAACTACTATTCAATCACATATTGAAATCTATTTGCCACCCTTTTTATAGAAGAAAGAACATAGGTCTCCTATTAGCTGGGCAGACATGGGGATGCCATCTGACCTGCAGCCTCCATTTCTCCCTTTGACAATTGCAAAACAGCACTACTGCTCAGAGTGTGAGCATGGGGTGAGGTTGTGCCTGAAAAAGTGCACCCCAAGGGGTGCCATCTTCATGCTTATTTGAAGGGCAGGAACAGCTGATGTGGTGGGGTTCAGGGGTCTTGCCATCACCCTCACCCTCGCTGTAGTAGCAGACCATGATCCTCCTTGGGAGGAAGGCTGCTATAGCCAGCAGCTCCTCCTGGAGTTCAGCCCTCTCCTCCCCTAATCCTCTCCTCCTTTGGAGACAAACAACAAACCCCTTCTGTGCCCCCACACCTCAGATCAACTGCATCCAGATGCCAGGCTTCTCTTTGTACTACAGCAAACACACGCCTCTCGTTGACGCTCCCCCGGGACCCTCTGTGGCAACACAGGCGCAGCTTTGAAGTTGCGAGCAAGGGCCCCGTCGTGGTTCAAGGACAATATTTTAAGTCCCCAAGAAGATGGGAACAAAGTTTTGATTGCAGAAAGAAATAGATTCTTAACAGACTTGAATGATAAAACATCACAATCTCATTCGATTGTAACAGCAAGCTCTGAAGAGGGAAGAAAGGAGGAGACAATTGATTGGGAAGCCTGGCTTAGAAGGTCCCAGGTCCCTGACCTGAGCAGGTGCCACTTTCTTGACTTGTGACAGGCACGCAGCACTAAGAATGCAGATGCAGCCTGCTGAGGACAGTGGGCAGGAGAAAGACACACCTGACTCAGGTGTGGAGGCCTCCAGGACAAAGCCACAGTGCAGGGAAAGATGACCTTCTTTGAAAGATTACTACCTGAAGGAAGTGTCACCCAGCCAAACCATTTAAACCTAAGGAGGACCAAGCTTGGGACTGCCCCAAATTCATCCATAAGTGCACAGCCATCTTCTCACCTTGTAAATGAGCTGCGTTGTTTCAGAAATAAACCATCATCTTCATTGCAGGTCCAATGAGAGTCCAGGCTTCAGGAAAGAGAAGAGTCAGTCTTCTGGGAGCACTGGAGGAAAGATACGAAGAAGATGGCCCTTGAGAATACAGTCTCCTGTGGATTCCAGGAGGACCTGGCCCAGAACCGAGGTAGAGAAAAGGTGAATGTCACCTGAACCCATTTTACCAGCTGTGCTGCAGGCAGAGTGACCTAGGAGATGCTGAACCCTAAGGGAGGCCACATTGGGAGATCAAGATGATCTTAGTGGCACATGAGATTTGGTGAGTACCTATTACTCTGAAGAGGTAAGTTGGCAGGGTGGGCTTACAAGTGAGGGGTTGAGGGAAAGATCATCAGAGAAGTCACTGGGAACTTTGAGTCTTATCCTGATTCCCAACTTTGCAAAATCAGGATGGTAATCACTCAACTCTCCCAGGGGTGATTAGTGCTAGGGGGAGGTTCCCATTGAGCTAAGAGTGTC